CCCCCGGTGTGCCTCCTGCCACTGAGATCTCTAGATGCCTGAATGAGGCTGGGGCCTGGGGGAGTCCTGCCAAGGCATGGAAAGGACTCAACTGCGGAAACAGGTCCTGACTCTCCCCAAGTGCTGTTGGTCACACCTCGGAGGCTCCAGGTAGACTCCATCACACAATGTCTTCTGGTTCCACCAGAGGATACTGGCTTTCTGGGCATTAGGGCCTGCTGTCAACTCAGAGCAGACAATCCAGGTCCATAGCCCTGGCAGGCTGTTGGCACAGAACACAGTGGCCAGAGCTGCCCAGACGTGAGCCCAGGTGACACGCAAAGTCATGGAGCTTGACAAGCCTCTTGGTAAAACTCTTCTCATCCCCCAGCAGATTCTGTTGCCTATGGAATAACCCCTCTGCTGTGTCCACCTGAAAGAAACCCACCAAAGGCCCTGGGTAAGCTAGCCTGGGTGAGACCTGGCTCCTTCCCATACCCCAACCCTCCCTGCTCCATGCCAACTGCTGGCAGGGCTTCTTGGACTAGAGAATTCCACAGCAAAAAGGATGGGTCTGCAGAAAGCACAGGGCAATCCGGGGTAATCTTATGAGCAGGAAGACAAGGACGCACGGTGGGCTCTGTCTACACTGTCTCAGGAAACTCACGCCCCAGAGGGTAGGTCTTACAGAGCAGGAGCTGGAGGATGGAAGCAACTGCACGATGCTACTTGAAAGTTGTTTTCCACCATTACCCTGACCACAGGCCCCTCTGGCAGGCAGCCAGGTGCCCTTTGAGTACGGGGAGGAGAGCTTCTGCCAGCTCCTGTTACAAGCAACAGCCCTCTGATGATACCGGGTCAACCCTGCTAGTGCAGGTCTTCATTTGTGTCCCCCATGCTGGGCGCAGTGCTGGCACTGAGAGGAGGCTGGGGGGGCAAGCCTTTCTGTAAGTGCTCCCAGTGGAAGTGACTCGGCTCTTCGCGGAGCCACCAGCAGAGGGAGCCAGCAGCTCAGTAAAGAGGGCTGGAGCGCTTGTGGGCCACGGTGGGGAGGCAATGGGTCTTGAAGCGGACCTTCTTCAGAGAAGAAGACCTCAGGAATCAGCCCCCCTCTCCTGCCCCAGGAAGGGAAAAGGAATGTTACCCCTCCTAGGGCTAGGAGTCAGGTGCCATCTGGGAGGAGAAAGGGCAAGACTGGACCAGCCTGGCCTACAGTAAGGCCCAGTTAACTGCTGCCGACCCCACCTCCCCACTGCTTAGCCCACAGATGGGCTGGTTCCCGGTTGCCCCTGGACCCCCGACTGACTCAAGGGCAGGTCCTAAGAATGGCATGTGCTAGGGGGAGACCAGAGATCTCTGCACCACCGAGTGGAGCACAGACTTTGGCTCCAAGGCCTTAGGCTAGCTGTGACCTCAGCGTCACTCAGCCACCTCAGACCTGTTCCCTTATCTGCCAAAGTGGGGCCACTTTCTGGTTTACTTACCTTACTGGGCTGTTGAAAGATGAAACAAGATGTTTGTAAAATAGAGGAGGGACCAGCAGTTGGTGTAATGGCTGTGTTGCTGGATTCCTATGTAGTTGACCGAGGTTCGAGTTCTGGACCCGGTGGCTTAAACTCATGCCAGGCACAAGTGCGTGCCCCGGATCCCGACAGAATGGAGAAGGGATTGTGGCGTGGCCATCCCCCCCCCAGGGGGGCTGATTTCTCACTGTCTCTCTGTCTTTCTGGCGAGCGCATGTGCCCTATAGCAAAAACCTCTCCAAAATAAATAAATAGAGGAAGCACAAAGCGCTGCAGACATTTAAGGGAGGCCAGAACGGTGTTTTTTTGTAGTTTGCTGAGGAAATCAGATCTGGAAGTTCCCAGATCTTGTTCTGAAATTGATCAGCACGTGAGGTACTAAAGGCCTGTGCCCTCAGGACCCCCAAACATCCGCAGAGCAACCAGGGACGATCCCTGTCACTTCTGGGGAGTGTCTGTCCCTACAGGCCTCTGCCTTTTATAATAAAATGACCCAGATGCTGTCGGCTGGCAGCTCCATCTCAGGTTTCAGTGCAGGTTTATTTCAGTTTTATATTTTATTCCAGGCAAGTGCTTATTACATGGAGATAGTATTCATGTCTCAATACCTAAGTCTTGGAGCATGAACAGCCACTAGAATACAGTTCAATAGTAAAAATACAATATGTACAAAATTAGGGTTTTGTAGTTTTTTTTTTTCCCACACAGCAGATGTATCCAAACACATAAAAATCTCTACAGTCTGGGGTCGCTACAGTTTATATTTCAGGAAACGGAGACACAGTGACCGAGTCCTCACTGTAAACAAGGGCCACCTCTTTGGGGGGTGGGGGTGGGACCCTAGGATGGGGTGAGAAGAAGCTGTTCCTGGAGACAGCAGGGGTCAGTGACCCCCCAATGGCTCTCCAGGCATTCCCTGCCCTTCTTTGGCCCCCCCAGGGAACCAACCTCCCTCTCTCCCCGAGGTAGACTCCCATCCAGTGAGCCACTCTGAACATCAAAAGGTCAAACACGCAGGAGAGGTAAGGTAGGTGTGTAGGTGTGTCCCAGGCTGGAAGGGCTAGGGAGGGAGGGGCAGGCGGTCCCACAGGGTGAGGACAGATGTGGTCCTGACAGCGCTCGCAGGGGAGATGCCCAAGGAAGGGCTGGGCGGTGGCTGCCGCTCGGGCACACAGCGTCACAGCGTTCACAGACAACAACAAAAACAACAGCAACAACACCCATCGTCACCAATCTGGACATAGTCATTCGGCACTAGATTTGGGGGCCCCCTGCGGGGGCAGGGGGGAGGGCGGCAGGTGGATGATGAGGTATCTGTGCAGGCCCACGGGGCGACTGGCTGACACAACGGTATCAACTCTGGAACTGGCCTCAGATGCAGGGAGAGGTGGAGGGCGGGGAGGGGGAGGGTGTCTGCCAAAGATCCTGACTGGGGGGGGCGGGGGTGGGGGCGGGCC